CATGTGCCTCTGATTCCACCTCATCTCACATACCTTTGTACGTGTGGTATAAATTATTTTATTTCTGAAAAGTAAGGTGCTGCATTGTTTTTAAGTTCTAAACAAAGCCCTTTGCTGCAGTGCTTGTTTTTTATGTTTTGTAGTGAAAAAACTTATACCATTATGTTTGGAAATGCATCAAATTCAGTGGATGCTAATCCAAGTGCATCTTCATCGGTTAAAAGTAGAAGTAAAAATGCTCCGGTAAATCAGTCTGATATTGGATGGAAACATGGGTTTGATATTAATGGTAATGGAAGAAAAGTTAAATGTAACTATTTCTTAAAGATTGTGAGTGGAGGCATATTTAGATTTAAACATCATCTTGTTGGAACCAGGGAGGATTCTAAACCTTGTGCTACTATTTCGGAAGAAACAAAAAATTTGATGATAAAAAAAGTTGCAGAAGCTAAGGATGCTTCAATAAAGAGAAGAAAGTTACATGTCATTGATGAAGACCATGAAGAAAGTAAGAGTGTTGAAGGAGGAATAGGGTGTTCAGTTTTAAAGGAAAACAAAAAGATGCCACTACTAGCAAGGTGAGAGTCCAAGCAACTATAAATCAAATGATGAAAAGAGGATGGATAGAAAGAAGAAGTTGATGCTCAAGTGGTTGAAGTCTTTTACACCAGTGTCATTCCTTTCAATATAATTAGAAATCCAACATTTGCAAAGATGTGTAAAATGATTGTTTAAGTATGGAGTTGGCTACAAACCACCATTTTATCATGATATTAGAGAGATGCTCTTGAAACAAGTTGTGAACAAAACATATATAATCCTTGAGGAATATATGGAGGAGTGGAAGAGAACTGGTTGTACCATTGTGTTTGATGGTTGGACAGACAAAAAAAGACATTCTATTTGCAACTTCTTGGTGAATAGTTTTAAAGGACGATTTTTCTTTATATGTGTTGATGCACCGCCTTCCGCTCATCCGAACGTCACCGCTACCTCCATAGTTGTCGTCGGACAACCTTGGTCTGACCCTTGAAACATCATGTCAGATAAGTCCAAAAGCCACCCTTCTGGAAGTCACCCTAGGGTTTTCATTTTCCCTTGTTGTTTTAGCATCTCCTTACTTTTTTTTTGTTCCCTTGATCAAAGATGGCTATTGACAATGTTATTTCATTCTCTGAAATCCCTCCATTACTTCTGAAAAGTTGAATAAGAAAAATTATTTATCTTGGTATGTTGTCGTCGAAATTTAGTTTCTTGGCCAAGGTCATCATGACCACTTTGAGAAAGATGGAAGCCATGTGCCTGCTAAAAAAGTTTGACAGTGGAAACAAGCAAATTTTCAATTACGTGCCCTGTTGTGGTAATCATGGAACCAAAACTTCTGATGTCCCTTGTCACTTCGTTTGGAAGAAAACTCAAAACATTTATGCCAATGATATCCAACATCTCTATTATTCAACAAACAAGCTTCCATCTCTCAAAATGGCAGACCATGATATGGTATCCTTCATGACTGAAACCCAATCAGTTGTGGAAGAACTGAGGATGTTTTTGGAAGTCGAATCTTTGGAGGAAATCAAGAAGAAACTTGACAAATATTATATGGTGATGATCCTTTGTGCTTTACCTCCAGACTTGGATCATATTGTATATCAATGTCTTATCAGTTATGAGGTCCCTTCCATGGATACCTTGACCACACATCTTCTTCATGAACTAGTAGAACCATCTGTCATGGTTGCCACACGAGAAAGAGGAGAACGTGAAGCTTGAGGGTGTCCTCAGTGTACATATTGTAGAAGGATGGGTCACACCCAAGAAAATTGCTACTTCTTGCATGATTTTCCTTCCAAAACAACAAATATCTCTAAGGCTAAAACTACCAACTCCAAGCTCAATGAGGAGGAATATCAAGAGTATCTATGTGTAAAGTCTAACAGTTTGGCATAAACATCTCAAACTCCAAGTACATCATAAGCTTGCATTTCTCAATCCATGGAAGGTCAAAATTCATGAGTAATTAACTCGAGTGCTTCTGATCAACTTTTTATTAATATAAACAGTAGAACATGGAAGGGTCCTAGTCGCCCTCTAAAATTATATTTGTCAAGTGAAAGAAACTTGTTTTATTTCCTTATTTCTTTTCTTCTATGAAGATCTTGAGCATGGACTTGTGGACTGGTGACAAAATCCTAACGGTGGTTTGATTGCTCCTTTTATGTGGAAAGGGCTTCCTTGTTGTTGGGAAGGGGAAGATCCATGAGTAAAAGAGTCTCCAACACTCAAGTCAAAGAGTTAGGATCTGTAAGTGAGAGTGGGTGTTAGTGAGTATTCCTGGGAAATACTAGTCCTATTTATAGGATCAACACAGGTCATAGGCCTGTGTTCTTATTAGAATATTATTTACTTGGGTCGTATAATAATAGTATAATAAATAGTAAAGAGTGATAAATAATAACCAAGATACCAAACTATTAGGATTTAGTTATAATATTAAATATGGTCCAAATAGGTGTAGGTTGGGCTGCTCCATAGTGAAGGGGCTTAAAGGGCCTTATTGAGCCAGGTAAGAACACAAGTATATCAGAATGCCTAATTATATTTTTTACTTTTTGCAAATAGGGCAATGTTCACTTTTAGACCTTCAAGAAATAAATGTTCATGTATATTTTACTGTTCCTATTTCCCTAAACAAGGGACAAAAAAGAGTTGATGTAATTTGAAGCACAACGATCACACGTTTTCAGAAATGAAAAACCAAAAGGTGACTATTTTTGAAGGGCCTGAACTGAAGATATCTTTATTTATAGGGACTAAAAATATATCTAAACCTATTAATTATTTTTGCTCCTTGCATGAGCTGCACATTTTAGTTATTATCTATGCACTGTATTGTTGTTTAGATAAGGAGATTAACTATCATTGTTTCAAAATGTCTTTATGAAGAAGACTGAACAGATACTGCTTATCCTGACTGTTGACCGAGAGAATATTGATGACAATTGTTAGAGATTCTACATTGTTTAGAAATATGACTAAACTGAAAATATATTGGTGGGATTATTAGATCATCATCTATTACACTGCTATCGAACCACATGCAGGTGTCCACTTGAGATGTTTAGTTATTGGTTTGAAGGGCGCATGTTGAAGATACCCCCAATGGAATTTGTTAGCGATATCAAGTTGATTTAAATGTTCATCTAAATGCAATAAAAACCAGTCTCGCCTATGGAAAGAATGTTCTTTGCAAACATGCTACTGACATTTATCTTTTTGTATAGCCAATCCTAGTTTTTTTTCTTGTCAAACATGTTGCTGCAAATATTGCCAGTCTAGATTATCCCAATTAACTGTGGCAATCTTAAGGAATTTCACATTTGTTGTTAGAGCAAGGATGCCGAAGTTATGTTGAAACTTGGGAGCACTGAAGATAAACGCGAGCAATATCGATTGATGAGAGATGCAATGGAGAAACGATTCATTAGAGTTACACGGGGCTCGATAGTGGGAGGGATACGCCTTGGAATGTTTACTGCTGCATTTTACTGCATGCAAAATCTGCTTGCAGAGAAGAGGGGTGTTCGTGATGTTTTTAATGTTGTCGGAGCTGGATCAGCGACTGCTTCAGCTTTTGGTTTAATCAGTAAGAAATCATACACTTACTGTACTCCATGTGTTGTTACTTGGGAAGATGATGAGAACAGCTAACTGTTCTACATTTTTATCGTACGTTATTTAGGTTGAAAATCTTTTAGATAATACAAAATGGTCAGACCACAAAACTAATGTGTTGAATGTTCTATCCTGTTTTGTTTTAGTGCCTGGATCACTCCGTTGGCGAGCAAGGAATATGGCGCTAGGGTCGGTGCTGGGAGCAGCATTTTGCTTTCCTCTTGGTAATGTTGACTACTTTTGTTAGTGAATAAAAGGAGAGGAAGCAAATTTATTATTTAATTGTTGAATGATATACCTTGCTTGTCTGAATTGTGGATGTGCAGCTATTTGTTGAAATTTTTCCCGCTAATTCTTTGGCAGGTTGGATCCATCTGAAGTTGGTACAAATGGCTAATGAAGCACATCCACATTCAGGTCAGAAAGAAGTTAAGAGTGGGGTTAGTGCTGCAATTGAGAGGCTTGAAGGAAATTTAAGTAAATGAAATACTATTGTTAGGTGTGACGCCCCTTATGCTCAGCAGGCTCGAGCATTTTATTTATTTTCGGAAAAGAGGGCTAATTTTTGCGTCAAGGGAATGACTTCCATGCCCTTTTATTGGAAGAAGTGCTAATTCAATAATTTAGTTGAACCTGTTACTCAAGATTTTCATCAGACACAGCAATGATACTTTCGGTCTAGATTAAAAGTAGTAAGCATATTTTTAAAGTGCTTCGGACTTCACTTATTCTAGTCTCAAAAACAAGGAAAAAAAAGGTGGTAATGAGTAAACTTGTACAGACACTGTATTATTATTCATCGTTTACAGTGCATCCGATTGTATTCATCGTTGGTTTTTGAAGGCTGCCCAGGAGAAGGTTGTATCCTCCAAATATATTATGAAGATATTGTGTATTGCTCTTCATTGCTTTTACATGTTTTATTACCTTGAAATTTAATTCATTCCACGAATAGAAAAATTGTTCCTTTTTTTCTTCTTCCGGTTCATTTCTACCGTTACAAATAATTAAAAATCCGTTACCCTTGCATCTCTGAAGAGACTTTCATTAGTTAGAAGGCGGGTCTTTTAAATTTCTTTCCCATTACCAAACGTTATTCAGGCATTGATTCTAGAAACTATTCATGTTTTTCTTAAAAGATCTTAGTTTACAACCCAAAAACTAACTGAACCCCCTTTCAAAGCATTAGAAAACTAGACGATTTTCTTATTTTACTGTGCAATGGTGTCTTGAAATAAACTCGACTAATGCTCATCCCTTGATAGCAGTGCTATACAAGGAATTCAAGAGAATCAAAGGTCCAACTATAAGCCATTAGCAAGGGGTGCGGAACAATACAACATATCAGCTATGCATACCAATTGCGCTACAACAAACTTTAAATAACAGGGGAAGCAAATAAACAGTGACCTATCAATTGATTTGATATTAACTTAGAATTTAGGGAACAGCAATAACAGGAAAACTATAAGCATTCAAGATACTCTCATCTGCCACTGCAGCACGGGTTTGAATGGCATCGTTCATATGATTGACTCCAAAAAAATCTTCTTCCACATCTATTTTACTCATGTTTTGCCACGAGCTCCATCTTCAACTTATTGTTAGTTGAGCAGCTTCTATAAACAATATAAAATTTCGCACTGTTCCTTACCCTGCAAAGATACAGGGAGATTTAAGGTAAGAAGCTACCACGTCTTTCGGAAAATTTCTTTGGACTACATCTGACTACTCATCCACAGATAGAAGCCACCACACCTTAATGTGTAGACAACTAGTCATCGTATCTTAGGACTAAAATACAAGGAATTGTACCCAGACAAGGGCAGAGTCTATATTAAGGAACCACTGGTTTCAGTAAAACATTGTTCAGACAGGCTTAATTTGGAATTAATTGAGACTCCTGGTTCAATCCTGCTGAATATACCATGACTAAATATTCCATAGGATTTGGTAGGGAATCATGAGAGAAAGAAAAAATGCTCCACACATATGATGTGTGTTCTACCAAATCTTTACAAAAAGCCAGCCAAGATTAAAAAAGAAGAGGTATATATCCAAGTCCTGGGAAAATAGGATAATGGCATTTCAGAATTCAGAATAGAACAACCATTACATAGTTATGGTTTTAATTCCTTAACATAATGAGGTTACAGACAAGAAATTGACTTTGCTGGCAAAGAAATTAACATTTCTAAACCTAGTATTAAAAAGCCAGATAAAAAAAATTACCATTAACTTGGCTATGAATTGCACCTTCTTGCGTCTTCTTTTTTGTCTTTTTTACTGCCTCTTCTGTAACCACAAAGTTTGTTAATTAATAATTAAAAACATAAGATACTTTTTTGCTTCTACACAACAAAATGATGGGCAACTTTCTCTGGAAATTAGGTTAAATGGAAATTGATATTTTTATTACAAAGAGATCATACAAGATATATACGGGAGACCTAAGCTATTTTAGGAAATATAATAACTATATTCTATTCTAGAATCCCTTGATTTATGGGATTGTCCCTATTTATTCAAATCTGTACTGATTACAATAAAATATATACTTGTTATGAAATACACAAATTTCCTAATTTATTCTTTCCTAAAATACTATTTGATTTCCCACACTCCCCCTCAGCTGGTGAATAGATGTTTTTCCATTCCCAGCTTGGGATACAATCTTCTCAAATTGTGGCAGCCCAGCCACCTTGGTAAGAATGTCTGCAATTTGATCTTCTTGAGAGGACACATATGGAGTGCATATCAAGCCACTATCAAGCTTTTCTTTGATGAAATTGCTGTCCCTTCAATATGGCTTTGTTTCTATCATGCTGCACTGGATTGTGGCTACGCTGATTGCAGACTTATTATCACATAGAGAGCTCATAGGTTCTTCCCATTTTTCATCCCAAGTCGTCTAAGATGACTTTTAAAGCCATAGCACCTCACATATACCCTGTGCCATGCTCGATATTCCGCTTCGCACTGGCACCGAGCCCTAACCCTTGCTTTTTTACTTTTTACTCTCCACGTCACAAGATTTCCTCAAGAAAGGTGCAATAACCGTAGTTGACCTCCCTATCCTCAATTGACCCTCTATCACAGCAGTATAGGCTTCAGCTTCACATTACCATTCCTTTGACTAGAAATCCCTCTTCCTGGAGTTTCCTTTAAGGTACTGTACAATTCTGTGTGGCAGCTTGTACAATGGTTCTCCCTTTGGGCTAAATGCATAAATTGGCTATTAAACTCACTGCATAGGCAATATCTGGCCTGGTATGAGACAAATATCTAAGTCTGGCCCACTAATCGCTGTAATCTTCTTTTCAACAACGTCTCTTCTGCATTTCCAAGCTTTTATGTTTGGTTCTCTAATGGGGTACTAGCAGTTTCAACGCCTTTTTTGGCCCCCCCTTGCCAGTTTCCTTGAGCAATATCAGTGATATACTTCTGCCTGGGATATAAATCCATTCTGGAGGGCAACATTCAATTCCCAAAAAATATTTTAGTTTTCCTCCAAGGTCTTCTGACTCAATTCCTTGCCCAAGCATTGGCTCAAAATCGCTGCTCTTCTTATCATCCTCATTAATATTATGTCACCACAATACACCAATAATATTGTACTCTCCCCTGACTTGGAATGGTTTAAAGAACAAAGTATGGTCCCCTTGACTTTTGTTTTGTAACCTAGACCTGTCATAACTTAGTAAACCTGCACAAACCATGCACGGGGGGACTGTTTTAGCCCATATAATGCCTTTTTCAGCTTGCAAACAGTGTTGGTTACAACTTCCTACCGTATCCCGAGGTATCTCCATATAATTTTCTTCTTCAAGGTCTCCTGTAGGAAAGCATTCTTAACATCAATTGTTCCAAGTTTCCAGCCATAATTGGCAGCAAGAGACAATATCACCCTACTGGTTCATTTGGCAACCGGTAGCAAAGGGTTCTCCAAATATCAACTCCATGGTTTGGGTGAGACCCTTTGGCATAGTCCTTGCCATTATATCTCTCATGATCCATCAGCCTTGTATTTTCACTGTCTAAACCCACTTACACATCCAACTGGCCTCTTTCCTATTGGAAGGTGACTAACTCCCAGTGTTGTTCTCTCTCTAAACGCCTCCATCTCTACATCCATGGCTTGCCCTCCATTTTCTGTCAGACAATGCCTCAGATAGGGGATTAGTAGAGTGTAGTTTTTTTTTAGGTTTACTAGAAGCTTTTAGGGTGAGAGAAAATTTTCAAACGGACCGAGTATTTGAGAGAGGGTAGATTGGCTGTTTGTGCATTTTCTTGGCCCTTTTCTAATGGCAATTGGGAGGTCAAGATCATTTTGGGTTTCAATTTCAAGATCATTTTTGGTTTCAATTTCAGCCTGCACAGCTGGAGAAAAAATTGTTACCTCTTTTTGTGGATTTGAGTTGGATTCTTGAACATTGCTTGATCCTGGGAATGGCCTTAGTTCTTTTCTTGAGTATAACCCATCTTCTTTACAAATTTTCCATCTCATCAACATCTCCTTGATCGCTTCACAATTATTTCACTTGGTACAGCTTTCCAATTTGATCTAGTTTAGGGGTCAAATATCAGGTCTGGAGAATGGGAAAACCAGAATTACTACTTTTCCTTATTCTTCCCTGAAACTCTCCCCGGACGATAAGGTTGAATGGAAATAGCCCTCTTGTTCATTGAGTACTCCCTAGACACAAAGAATTTTTTGGATGGGGGTGGTAGCATTTATACCACCCTTTCTGAGTGGTGAGTAACCAACAAAGAACAACTTTAAAGGCTCTAGGATCAGTTTCCCCCTGTCCTGTATGTATGAAATGGACATATGAGATGCACCCAAAAACTCTTGGTTTAAGATTAATTTGTAGTTGATAGGTTTTGGATAGAAGACGGACAAAGCTTCCATAGGGCTTTTTGATCCAAGACTCTAGAGGGTAAGTCCTATTGATAAGGTGGTGTTGCTGTAAGAACAGCTTCCCCCCAGAGATTTTGGAACACTATGTTGGAACGACAATGCCCGAGTTGATTACTGATGCCCATTTTCTTTCTGGACCCATTCTGGCTGTGGTGTTTTGACACAAGAGGACTCATGAATTTCTACCTTCTTTTGCCAAAAAGAATTAAGGACATGATTGAAGTAATCTTTGTCATTATCTGACCTGAGCCTCTTAATATTAACACAAACTGACCTGTTTATTCAGAGTGGAAGTATTAGGAAACAGAACTGACTTTCTGATTTTTTGTTTAAGAGGAAAACCCAATGACCCCTTGACATCATCTATAAAGGTGATGACAAAAACCATCGGCACCACGACACATTGTCAACATTAGGACAGGTCCCATACATCAGTATGAACAAGATAAAAGGGGAATTGGCTAATTTTATTACTATATTGGAAAAGAATACACCTTGTGCTGTGCAGTTCACACCCTCACAATGAAGATCTAACATCTAACTTTGTAAGACAGAGAGGGAAACATAGATTTTTGATCACTCCAAAGGAGGATTTCCCACCGACAATGATAAATGCAGATTTTTTCTCTGTGGTCATCAAAGATTCAGATATAAGGAATGAGAGATTCTGTTTTTGTTGGACAGATTTGGATCTCATGCAAGATAATAAAGGCAATTCCATTCTCTAAGCAATGTCCCATCATCCTCCCGAATCCTTGTCCTGAAATACACAATGATCGTTGTAAAAAACAACCTTACATGACACTCTTTTATAAGTTTTTCGTATGAGAGACTAGGTATGGTTTGGGGTACGCTTTGGGACATGGAGAACCTCTTTTTAAAGGTTATTAAAGAATGATTTGGATATTTCCCTTGACCGCCTGCAGTTATAGGGTTCGCATCTGCTGTGGCATTTTTCTTGTTGCTGGGGACATGGGGAATATTGGGAGAAGATTTGGCTAGGTGGTCCGTCCATGTGGTCTGTGCTCCGAGAGTCCATATCCAGTAATTGTTAAGGGAGGTGTATCTGAGACATTTAAAATCCAAAGAAGTGAAACTACCTGAATATGCCAAAGAACACACCTGTAAGGTGTTATTCCTAACTGTAACTAAGAAAGGTTCTCAAACCCTTTCTATCTACCCGGTCCTCTTGATAAGATGGGTCAGCAGCTTCTGGATTATTTCCTTCATTTGGTTTCCAGCAGCAGCAACATAACACTTGTCCTCCTTCCGTTGGGAGGGGCCTCCTCTTTGTCCCCCTTCTCGGATCATCGATTTAAAGCTTCCCATGCAACTTCCACACTTCTTCGGGTAGACGAGGCTTATGTGCAGTAGGTACACCAGAGACCAATCACCTTTGTTTCTCCACATTTGCTGACCTCCTTTCTTCTGTTCGGCTACCATGGCCAACGTCTGTTCTCCTTTATGGTCATCCACCCATTGCTTGATGGTTCTCTACTACTGCTAGGGACGTCTCCAACATGAGAGCACCGACCTTCTGCTTTCTTCACTTCTCACAAAGCCACCGACTTCATTGAAGATCTGTCCTTTATGCTTCCCCAATATTTGAATCCTACTTGATCAATGGTCAGGATTCAAAAACCACAATGAAATCATAACTCTGTCTTGTCGATATATTCCTGAGAAGCTGCTAAAGTCTTCAGTACATTTGGCTAAGTTATGCTACTCTATAATGGTCTAGCTCCATCCATAATGCATTTCAACTGTTGGCATATGGGAAGGCTTTAACAGTTCGTTTTCCCTTGTTTGCTGGCCAAAGTTTTCATTTCACCTTTACGGTCATATACCTTGCGAGCATCTTTTGGCTTTAGAGTAGTTTGCTCTACCATCCCAAATCTCTTTTGCCGATTAGGAACATGCATGTGTCGCTGATTTCTGGAATCATTGAATTCCACAGCCACGCCATGATCATTGAATCTTCCTCAATCCCATGTAGTAAACTTGGGATCCTCCTGTTTGGGTCCAGACTCACATCAGGTGACTCAACTTCCCCTTTCCCTTCAGCACTGTACGAACAAGTTGGGCCCACTTCAAATAATTTCTTCTTCCATTGAGTCATATGCAGAATGGATATTCTGCAGTTCTCCAGGAAGCTGGGAATGGGAATTCCCTGTTTCTGGGGTTGGTTCACAACTTCCGCTTCCTCCCTGACAGCATAGCAAGAAGATGGCTGAGCGGAAAAAAGGAAAGGGCTGTGCAATTATAGGCACAGAGGAAGACAGCAGCAACGGAAGATTGAGCGATAGAGAAGGTTTCAATAGCAAGGAAAAAAAAATGTAATGAATATAGGAAAGATGCAGCAGCAATGCAGGCTGCCGTCTTAGGGTTATGAGGATGCAGCAGCATGCAGGCTGCCCGTCTTAGGTTCAAGAAAATGCAGCAGCAATGGCAGGCTGCCGTCTTAGGGTTTACCAAATGCGCAACAGAGCTTCCTAGATCGAAGCTCTGATACCAATCCTGGAAATTAGGTTAAAATGGAATTGATATTTTTATTACAAAGAGATCATACAAGATATATACGGGAGACCTAAGCTATTTTAGGAAATATAATAACTATATTCTATTCTAGAATCCCTTGATTTATGGGATTGTCCCTATTTATTCAAATCTTTACTGATTACAATAAAATATATACTTTTTATGAAATACACAAATTTCCTAATTTATTCTTTCCTAAAATACTATTTGATTTCCCACACTTTCCTCCTAGAAAAGTCATACGCATATGGTGTGAAAGTTCGCAAAAAGACTGGTAATATGTATTGAAAACCACAAGGAAGATATTTTTATTACACAACCTATGATACCTTTGAATTTTCTTTTCTTGTTAGCTCTCCTTCTCTTCCTTTCTGCCTGTGTAAGCTCTACTTCTTCCTTGATATCACCCTTGCCATCAAACACCTCCTCAGGAGCCAACATAGCAGCATCTGAAACAGCCACAGGAGCAATCTACCCATGGAAGGTGTAATACATTGTCAATAACTGATAAATGTAAGAAACATAAGCAAAAAAAAAAACTAATAAAAAGAATAGCTGCTTACTTCTTCCATTGCCAGAGCAGGCACATTAACTTGAATAGACATGTCCTCTATAACCTGTTCATTTCAATCCAAGGCAAAATAAGAAGAAATTTCAAGTTAAGTATATATAGTCTACCAAGAAATAATAAGAACGTTGGTGTCATACAGGTTTTGGGGCAAAGTTAAAATGAGATAGGGCATCCAGCTTCAGACAGAGTCTCTTGAACAGCATGGTAGCCTAATAAAGAGTACAAGGTGCAAGATTAATGCATAATAATGAAATATATAAAGGACATAACAAGTTAGTTACACAACCTGGTACAATTAGCCAACTTTGTATAATGCATGAGAAAATGAAGCACATAACAAATGAGAAAGAGATTAAATAGCACAATAAACAGAAACAAAGTAAAACAATCAAGATTTGCACCTCATTCTTTTGTTCATCTTTGAATGACAATGGAGCAGATGTGGGGTCTGTCTTCTGAACATATTCTTGCTGTCAACAATTAAAAAAAATACATTTAAGGTACATCACAAGCAAGGATGAAATGTACAAACCCTTGAAAAATTAGTAAAAGGTTTTCAAATGCTGCAGAACATATACTTAAAATACAAACCTCGTAAATTTCTGCAAGACCCTGCTTGCTTTTATTGTCATCCTGAATTCATAACAAAAATGAAATTACTTGTACAAGTTAGTTACATACAGATAGAGCTAGAGAAAATGTTGACTGAACATTAAATCTATTTCAGTGAAATAAGCCTTACCAACTCTGTAACTTCCCGAGGCGCTTTAGATGGCAATTTAGGAAGCCTTTGCACATCATTAAAAAGCCCCTATATAAAACACAAGTGTACATTAGAAAAAACGTAGTGTAATGCAGTTTCATCTCATGTATTACTTGTTAGTAATTATATAACCAGCTTAACACATCCAACTTTTTACCAAAATGGTACATGTTGCCATCTATGTATCACTTGAAATAAGAATAGAGATTTAGAGTGATTCTAAGAGAGTACGTAAACCCTCTCAAGAGTTTCATATTTATAATATCTTTAGATATATCATATACAATGAACATCAGAGAATTCTAGAAGACATATCTAGGAACTAGGATCATCATAAAGTACATAGCACCTAATAATACCCTATTAAAGGTCATTTATTCTAATACTCCCTCTCAAGCTGGAGCATACAAATTGTATGTACCCTTGGAGCAAATAAATTCAATTTGAGGACCTCTCAGTGATTTTGTTAATACATGTGCAAGATGATCATTTGATCCAACAAACTCTGAGTAGATTTCTTTGGACAACAATTTTTCTCTTATGAACTAGCAATCTATTTCAATGTGTTTAGTTCTCTCATGGAACACTGCGGAAGCAATGAGAAAAGCAGCTTGATTATCACAATACATCTTCATCGGCTGAATGCTACAAAAGTCTAATTCTTGTAAGGACTATTTTACCCACATAAGTTCAAGAGATGTCATTGCTCTATACTCAGCTTCAGTAGATGGTCAGGTGACCACATTTTTCTTCTTACTTTTTCAAGAGACAATATTTCCTCCAAGCAAAACACAATATCTTGTAGTAAAGTGTCTATCCATAAGAGAACTAGCCCAATCAGCATCACAATATCCAATAATTTAAGTATTCCCTTTACCTTCATAAAGTAACCCTTGTCCTGGAGCCTTTTTGAAATATCTTAGAATACAAATGATTTACATTCAAGTCATCAATACATGGTTTTTGCATAAATTGACTCACAACACCAACTACATAGGACAAATACATAGGACAAATCTGATCTAGTAATAGTGAGATAAATAAGTTTTCCAATTAGTCTTCTATATCTTTCTGGATCAAAGAAAGTTTCTTCCTGTTCTACCATTAATTTTAGATTTGGATCCATGGAACAATCTCCTGGTTTAAAATCAATCATACTCGTTTCTTTCAGGATGCCAAGAGCATATTTTTGTTGTGAAAGTATCACTCCTTCCTTTGATTGAGCTACTTCTGTGCCAAAAAATGAGATTTCCAAGATCCTTTTGGTCTGAAAATAATTGCATAGATGGTGGCCTAGAGAAAGAGGGTTTTAGGAGAGAAATACCTAGGAGACCCAAGCAAATGAGTTTGAAACCAAGAATGAAGGCTAGATATGGACTCAACATGCTTCGGTGAGTCAAACAAAGGTGGCCTAGAGAAGGCCCAACCACTGGACAGCGACACGTGAGACTCACGCACCTAGGGCACCGTGATTGTTGACGGCATGTGACAACGCATGGGATAGAGAATGGAGGCGTGACCACCGGGGTTGGATTGCGCTCTTCGAGGCACCTCAGTCCCAAGTGTTAAAAGACGAAACTCCAACGTCAAACAACGACGAACGACATAAATGGAGCCGTTGGAGAGTAAAAAAACAGTCACAAAGACGGGCATAGCGAGATCAAGCCGCTCTGATACCAACTTGAATTAAGAATAGAGATTTAGAGTGAATTTGAGACCATATGTAAACCCCTCTCAAGAGTTTCATATTTATAATATCTTCAAATACATCGAATACAATGAACATAAGAGAATTCTAGAAGACATTTCTAGAAACTAGGATAAACAAAAAGTACGTAGCACCTAATAATAAACCCTATTAAAGGTCATTTATTCTAACAGTATCATCTCCCACTCAAGTAAAAGTCATGATGAACTATAGTAGACGTCCAAACCAAGTTAGTTCAGCATATAAAGTTACCTCAATAATCCTATTCTTGATCATATCCTCAATAGAAGCTGTAACTTCCTCAGTGATTACAGGAGTAGGCCTCACATTGTGCTCAAAGTCTAGATCAACTTCCAATGCACTATTTTTGGGTCTCTTTGCAGCAGTTACCTGTAACAAAATCATCAATCAATAATCAAAATACCAGATTAGCAAAATAGCCAGCAAATCCAACCCAAAAAGTAATCAGATTAAAAAAATGAAGGGACTAATGTATTACCTCACCCTGCATAATCCATGTTTTTGGCTCTATGTTAGCTTTTTCCATCTGCTCTATCTTGGATTGAATTTTTTCCAGCTCCTTTTCGTGGCCAGATGTAGTCCCTTTTTTCTACACATATGTAATAAAATAGAATAAGAAATTAAGAAAACTATTTACAAATTAAATAGTAAACATATATATATATATATATATATAGAGAGAGAGAGAGAGACCTCATTGTCAAATTCTATGTCACCCTCATCTTCAGAATATTTAGATTCCCGAAGTACTTGAGCTTTTCTTTTTGAGCCCCTTTCCTTTTTACCTCCAAAGAAGTCTTCATACCTGATGGCAACAGGTGAAAAAAATGAACCCCAAATACAGACATGGTAAAAAAACATCTAAGGTAAGTATCCAGACAATTGCATAACATGAGCGGTGAGAACTGAGCATAATAATAAAGAAAATACACCAAAACAAACAAACCACATAATAATTAGCGGTAAACAGTGTACAGCTCAAGGGGAGAGGAAAGATCACTTGGCCAAATTCATTTGGCCAGAGAATACTACAGGAATTACAATTGAAAAAAAAATAGAAAATGTATTTGATCCTAGAAAAGCCTTAAGCATAAATGCCATACAGTTAGACTACCTTAACACTCTGAAAATCCAGTACCATAAAGCATGCTTGGTCTTATGCTTATGCAGTAAAACCCAAAGCACCCATCCATTTCATCAACCAAGCTTGGATCATATTCCTACTATTTACGTTTCCTTCCATCAATTCATAACTTTGTGTGTTAATTTCAAGATACCTAAAATGTGCTACTTCTGGCACGGTATGCAACGGGCATGTATTATTAATCAATACATTTTTCAATTAGTAGATTAAGGAAGGAAATTGACGGGAAAGAAAAAGGGGTATGCATATGAATAATCCAGGGAAATAATGACAGCAAAACAAATAACTACTGAGTTAAATTGACGGTGAACATTTAATGCAGAGGAGACCCATGTCCTTAAAGTCCCAAAGATAGAGATTACACATCGACCTTCAGCTGCACATAGGAATTTCACGTTTCTGGTGGGAAAGAGGAGAGAGGAGAAGAAAAAAGGATGAAGATGATAGATGGAAAGAGAAGAGAAACAGAGAGATCAAAGAACTGGACAATGCACAGCTCTTATTATCATTCAGTCTGTCAACAGTCCTACCTTATTTAAAGGTAACTACCAAACAGCCATAAAATCCTAGCTAACAGCAGCAGACTAACTAACTAATTAACATTATTTTCTTATTAAATATGTGATGAATAGAAGAAAACACAACACTGATGACATGGGTGACAGCGAGAAACTTCACTTACTATAGGTGTATTCAGCGTGGGACTCATACAGATAAATACCAGAAATAGGAAAAAGAGAAACAAGCTTTCACATCTATATCGATAATATCAAAAGAACTAGCCTAATGTACATTTCTTTGTCCAATGAAGAGCAAGTGGCTTGATTTTTCTACAACGAGGCTAGTCCCTCCACTCCCTCTCCCATGTTTGGAAATAATATCAAAATAATAAAATAAAATTAGTTAAGGCATTGCATATCAGGTTGTCACGTAACAAGTGTTAACCATTAAAATCACAATTCTACACGTACTATCATAAGGCTAGACCTCCTGGCTATAATGCTTTGATATTGTTATTCGCATCTCACCACAAAGTTTTACCCAAGAACAAGACATACGCATGTGATATCTATAGATATTTCTGGAACATAGATCGTCAAGCAGAAGTGAAGCAATTTAAAGCTTTTACTTAAGCACTTCATTGACCAATAAGTGAAATTGTAGACTAGTGACAATGGATATAACCAATAACTAGAGTTGCAATCTTAAAATGGATGAAGATCCTTTTTTATAGTGGGAGGACAATAATAAACACCTTGCATTTTCCATGTCCTCTGCTTCTTCGTCTACATCATCTTCGTCACCAGACCCAAAATCATCATCCTAGATAAATATAATTAGAATGGGTCACAAACTAAATAATTAATAAACAAGCAAATAACAACTTAACAAGAACTGAACATTATTAATACGGATTTCACAGCCAAATTAGAAGAAAAGAAAAGCACTAAAAAACCAACATATAACACTATTAATAAAAATTCAACAAAAACAAAGAAGACCGTATTATACCTCACACAAACCCTAACAGTGATATCAATTGGCACAAACTACCTAAAACAACTGTCCCAGGTTTAGAAACCCCAAAAAAGACTAATAAAAACCACAGTAAGCAAAGAGCACACCCACCTCATCACTTTCCTCGTCATCATCTTCCTCCTCGCCTTCTCTGTCTGCCTCAGCATTCTGAAAATCCTCTTCCTCCTTATCTAAGTACTTCGCCAATTCATCTATTTTCAAGAATTTATCCTCAATGCCACCGCCTTCTTCATTATCTTCTTCGTCTCCCACTTCATCTTCCTCATCCTCTTCCATTCCTTCTTCTTCTCCCTGCTCTTCTTCGTCCTCGTCTCCTTCCTCTTCCTCTTCCTCTTCCTCATCCAACTCCTCGTCAAAACCGTCACTATCTCCCTCCCACTCGTCTCTACTCTTTTCCTCCACCTTGTTCCCACTTTCCGAAAGAACCTTCAGCTGGGAAATCTCTTCAGGATTTTCAGCCAGCTGCTTCAATCGGCGGCGCAGGGTGGATAACAGAGGCTGTGATTGGAGATCGATTTGTTGCCATATCTGTTCAGCGTCGAAACCTTCCACGAGGAGTTGATCCAATGGCGTTTTAGGGGAAAATGGTTTTAGGGTAGAAAACAAGTATTGGGACGCCGTACGAGCAGCTTCCGACAGCTCCACGTTCGGCGCCAACCATAAATGTGTATCCGTCGCTTTCAGGCGCCGTAGGGCTTCGACGCCAGCGTCACTCGCGTTCACCATTGTTGGGTGCACTGTCTCTCTGTTCTCTGGTGACAAAAGGGTTTAGTTTAGGGTTTTAGCACAACGAAAGTTTGACAGGGCTGAAAATGTGCGTTTTCTTGACCTAATAAATAAATAAATTCGATTAATTGTTGGAAATTACTTTTTAAACCCAAATTGAAATTCGACTAGTTTTGAGTATGTTATGTTTATATTTAGATTTAGATGTGTGTACAAATAAGGGAAGGATCTATACAAACTATTATATATTATTATCAATTATGCAATTACGTAATAATAAGAATATAAAATCGTTCCTCTTTAACCATCGGATACTTTTGACCAAATTAAATTCCTTTAAAATACTTACTTTTTCCACTTTTATATTTAATCTTTTAATTTTTTTTCTTTTTTTAATAGTTACATTTCAATATTATATAAATAAAAATCAATTCATAATAGTCTACATAAGTTACATGAAATATATATATATATATATATATATATATATATATATGCTATCTTAACTACAAAATTATTAATACTTTATTTATATTCTAACATTTTTATAAATCATATTACTTTGTTATGATAAAGTTAATTATCTTATTCCTGTTTTACTCATTATTTAGTTTATCTTTGTATATATTAGTGATAATGCAATTTCATTCTATTTAAGTTAACAATGTTAACACACATAATGTTAGATGTTTTATCCATAAATGAGAATTTATAAATATACAAGATGACAAAATCAAATAAATCATGGGTAATATATGATAATGTTTAAATAATCCTCATATATATTGTATTTCTCAATAGTTATTTTACAAAAATTTCGCAACGGTTTAAAAAACTATTTTATCGATTAAATTATATTTTTTAAAGTAAACAAAAATTAGTAAAGATAATTCAATTTTAAAAAATAGCGTACAACATCAAATATTTTGGATTTTTAACGGCGAATTCACAAACGACTATCAGCACGTCGAATTTAAAAAAACTCGACGTTAAATTAATGTCGAATTTTGTTAATATGCAACATTAACTTAAAGTCTAATTTTGTCAATATTGGACGTTAATCAATTCTTTTTGTTTTTTTAATTAATTGTAATCATTTTTTACAACTCTATGAGATCTGACAAACATAAAAACATCAAATTTTAATTTTTGGTATTTTATAAAACATCAACTATGAACGTGTAGTGTATTATTAACAACAAAAAATAATAACTAACAACAAACAAGTTCAATCAAACAACAACAACAAACAAGTTCAAATAAACAACAACAACAAACAAGTTCAAATAAACAACAACAACAAACAAGTTTACACAAAAAAACAACAAATGAGTTCTTCAAAACGAAAACGAAAACTAACCTTCAAAAATGTGAGTTCGTCGGAATAAAGTTTTGTGACAATAAGAGAGAAAGCAGAATGCGCCTATGAAGGACAATAGACGAAAATAATCTGTTAAACAAAGACAAAAATCATACATAAAGTATTCGAGAAAAGTTTGGAAAGAGAAAATGGTATAGCACGCTAAGATAGGGTGAATGAATTTTCAACCTCCCCATCAAATTTTTATTAAATTCGCTAATCTTTTAATGTCAAATTACAATTCTAAACGACGTCTAATAATTGCAATTATTTACAAAAATACCACCGCTCATTTTTAATTTTGGTTATTCAGTAGTTGAACGTTGAATGTGGGACATTATATGTTGTTTTTGTACCAGTGATTATAGTTCACAATAAATTAGGAGTGCATATAAAATAAATTTTTAAATAATTATCAGTTTCTTTTAAATGAAAAAAATATTATCATATAAACATGTAAAAGAGGTCAAACTATTTTCATAGGTCGTAACTTATAGAAAGATAGCATTTTAGAACAATCCAGTAAAAGTTAAACATCCTACATTGTGTTTATTGAATGTTTTATCATTTGTATCAAAAGATTTGTGTTCAAATTCAGCCTCAAATCAACTATCACGTGGCATTTTAGTTGTCGTTTAAATGTTCCCCAATTTTATATGATACAAGCATATATCAACTTTGGTTCAATTATCTATTCACTAAAGAGGTCATTTTTATCACTTTGAACACTAAAAAGTACGTATAAGGATAAATATTTCAACTAAGAGTTACATACATAAGAGAATAACAATTAATGTTGCATTGAAGTGTATTCAATGTTTTTTTACAACAAAACTACAAGGGTGAAACGAAGAAAAAGACATTTATGTGAGTTCAAAATTATTCAAGGAGCTGAAAAAAGTTCGCAACAATCACTTATTCTCAAACCTATATATAAATATTCTTTTGAAGAGAAATTGATGTTATTTTTACAAATGTTAATGTTGAATTTTCTCCTTACCCAAACTAATCTGGTAAGAACATTTTTTTACTCATCCCAACAAACTCGTAAAGTGAATCAAACCATTAAAAACATCCAAAGATACTACTTTCTTCAGTGAGGATATATGATCTTTTTATTACTCAGACTCTATATTTGTATAAATTATGAGTGATTTGTCAATATAATACTTAATTAAATTTTAAATAGTTTATAAAAATAGTATTGTCAACAAAAACAATTGAGAGTCAAAAGTCATTAATAGTTGTTTTAGTTATAATAAATTATTTGATAAAAAAATATTTCAAGGGATCAATGTGAATAACTGAAAATTGAAATAAGACTTAATTATACTTTTTAACCTACCTAATAAAAAAGTTTCAAGAAAAATATAAGGAACAAGCTCTTTTAATTCATTTTTAGTGTTGAATGAAATGTACTAAAAGTAATTAAATTGTGAGTTGTATATATTCTCTTTAGTTGTTATTTAATGAAATTTGGTAACGATTTTATAGTTTTAATGAATTTTAAAAATCCATCAGAAAGTGTTAAAAGTTATTTCACTTCAATAATATAAATGACATTTTAATGAAAACATTCATGACTGAAACTATCAAAAGATGATTTAAATTACGATTAAAAACAATACATAAAATCACAAAATGATGACACGTAAGAGTATCTACAATACAATTGTATATACGAGTACTTAATTATTTTTACCAGTAAATTATATATTTATTAGGTAAAAGTAAACAAGAAAATAAGAAAAACTAACATAAAAAAAAAACTTATTTTACCAATCTTAGAGTAAATTTTCTTCTAAAAGTTCGTGTAGAATTTACACATTTAAGCTAAATAAACATGCCTAATAGATGTTCTACGTTTAAAGAGATCCTATGGAAAGTAATTTATTTCGTTTTATTTACATAATTTCCAATAGAAAGTAATAATATTTTGATGATTAAAATAAATACCTAATAATTACATTATAATGATCTAAATGAATGGCTTGATGCCCTCATCTTTGTCTTAAACTCTAATTATTTTGTTTTTACTTCTCCCAATGCAAATTTGAACACTGAAGGACAATAGAACCAATAATTCAATGCACTGATATCACAGTTTTTACACGCGCACATGCCATCTTTCGACAAGTGTCAACACAAAGTAACGCCCAAAACTCTCTTTGCTTCTAAACCATTCGATTCAAAAACAGCCAAAGAAACTTATATACTTCACCTCAACTTACAAACTTTTTTACTATTTTCTTGCAACTAAATATCTTCCCCTTTTCTACCACAAAATTTATGTTCTGAAAATCGAACTCATCTCACATATAGGTACGAGTCAGGGTACCGCGTGGACAACACGCTGTGTTTCAGCTTCATCATCAAAGCGAATATGCCATAGCACGGAATATGCAATAATGCCATCGAAAAGTAACTGAAAATCAATCACAGGACAGTGAGAAGGTATCAGAAAAAACATCATACCAACGCTTACTCAGAATCAGATACCCAAGAAATAGAAAGATGCACAAGACAAGAAGAAAATAATTAATGTATACCACAGTGGAGCATACGAGGAGGACAAATCAAGAAATGGATATGGCCACCTGTTTTGTTTTTTTTTTCAGAAAAAAAGTATAATCAGGAAATTATGTATAAGATGTTTCTTTAGCAATTCAGTGATTAAAATAATGATGAGGGTTGTTACCAGAGTTTAACTATGGAATGAACAATCCACTGGAAAATCACATATGTAATTGTCCACATGAAAAAGTATCCTATTCGAAACCAAGGGAACCTCTGGAGAGAACAAAATGAAGGGTAAGGATTTGAATATATATATATATATATATATATATATATATATGCAGTGAAAGTGGACAATTAGCTAGAATCAAATCTAGAAACTTACCAAGGAATTTAAAGCCGTGTCACCTAGCAGGAAAACAGCATTGATGGTGTGCATACTGATTATTAGCTGTCACATTACAATTTTGACTTATGATTTAGCTCTGATGTCTCTTTTTGGGTAAGAAAAGGAACAGGTATAGTACAACTATATATGTATGCTTATGTTATAAAAGAAGATTAACAAATATAATCCTATCGAGTCGCACATGGCTTACCAAATTTATGTGGTAATCTTTGATGGTTAGAAACGGAACAATTATGAACCAAAACACACAATCTGTGAGCATTACAGCACCTGCAATTATCTGTTCATGAAAAAAAAAAAAAGACAATTTATGTAGCCAATGGCAAAAACAGTCTCATCCCAGATTGTAAATGTTGATGAAAGGAAAAAAAGATAAAGATTTATTTAAGTTGAGTTCATCATTTATCTAAATCAGTGATGTAGGCCAAGTTTACCTGGAATATTATTTGAAAGATATAACCCCAGATGCCCGCAGGTTGGCGAACAAGATGTTCTTGTGGAGTTCCTAATCCTTTGTCATTGTTTGATGGATTAGAACACTGGGGGGTTGTAGGAGTATCAGAAATTCCTTGCTCTGCATCTCCATCAACATTTCCAACCTTGTCACCACTGGCTTTTTTAAGATGCTGGTAACAACCATGCATGGAGAGCAAAGATCCCAGCTACAAAATCAAACATACAATGACAGTGTATAGCCAGATTATGGACTAGTTTATATAGATGAAATAGAAAGAAAAATTAGACGAGGCTCATCATAAAAGTATTTACCCCAAAGTAAATGGTGACTGCAGCAAAAGTCCACCTGTTTCATAGCAACAAAAAACAAAAGAAGGAAAAATTAATAGTCAAAAGCCAGAAGAGAAAAACAGACCCTTTTTTTTTTACAAACGGAAGCGGCTTCCAATGGAAGATTATATTGGATAAAAACACTAGTTATCTTAGAGACACACACAAACCCATGATCACAAAAGGGGATTGTATGAGCCTATTTAATTCAAAGAGAAGAGGACTGATTGAACTGCTACTAATCCCTTCATTTAGAAAAACAAACCAAGAGCTTCTTTTTTTTATTCGAGATTGATTAACTTTTTGTTTAAAGTTTAATTAGCTTTCAAATTATTGGTCCAGCCACAGACTTCTGCTTTCATGTTCCACACCTACAACTTAGGATGGTTCTTAACATAGAAAAAAATTAATACGCATTACTTCATTTTAACAGCATCCAAATTTCATATGAAGAGATTCGAAATGGAAAATGGAAACTCACTCAGTGTAAAAGTAGAAAATGCTTCCTCCGTCAGCAGTAGCTGTCAGTATGAGAAGCACCAAAAGCACAACAAATGCAAAAACTCTAAACCCCAGTAACCAGACAGGGTGAATTCCTTTCAAACAAGGCCTCCAAATTTCATCCTCATACAAAGTCGAGGATGTTTCTTTCTGGTCATCATTTCTTGTAGCTGTTTCTCTCTGGCCTTCCTTGTTATCATTTCCTGTTGCCTTCCACGAAACTTCATACTTCAATATAATCAATGAAGAAAAGATAGCTGAAAGCAGAACCCAAATGACACAAACCAAGACCCTCCAATTCAACCAGTAACTCTGTGTGGTTGTATCTGCAGTGATGATGGGTTCCCACGTGCCTTTTGGAGAGCCTGTGACGAACCTCATTTCGTTACTTCAGATTCTCTCAAAGGTAAGTGGAGAGGGAGATGGGGTTGTTCTGCTTCTCCTTAGAAAAATCCCTCCAATGCTATTGAAGAACAAAACAAATAGAATATAACAATGACCTTAAGAGAATTGGAAGCTATATATTAAACTTGTTCTCTGTGATCAAAAGTGGGGCCTAACGAGAAAGTACACATGATAGTGATTTTTCATGCATTTCAAACTAGGAACAGCTGCAAAAGTTTTGGGCCAGGGAAAACTAAAAGGTTGAAGTCTCTTGACCCATTTTAGCCACATTAACTAAACGTTTAATTATCGGATAAGGTGGAGATTTCAGGCTTTGGATGGATTTCACACAAAAAGATAGAACACCGACAATGTTAATTGTATGTGGATCAGCCTATAAAGGAAAAAAAGAAGCAGCTAAGAACTGTAAGCAAAAAGAAAAGGTTGAATTGAAACTTGCAAGGGAAAGCAAAACAATGTGGAGGAGCGAGAAGAGATGCTTTGCTTCTTTGCTTTTGTATATAGAAAACTATTAAAGGTTGTAGACTGTAGAGAGAGAGAGAGAAAAGAAAAGGATGGTGTTGTGTGGTGTGCTTGGAGCACAAGCTTCTTCTATCACCTTTACTGTTGTTATCTAACAAGAATCTAGTTGCAGCCTTGACCACCGTATTCCCATGCAAATTTTAAACTAGTGTTGATGAGCCAAAAGACAAACATGTTTCTCTGAACCCTTCTTGGGTTAATAATCATATTATATTTCTTTTTTTAATGACAGAGAGAAAGACAGAGGAAAGGGACCAGAGAGAGGGTATAATTGTATTTGGATTTTGTATTGAAATGCTTGGAGCCAAGATTCTTCATGTATCCCAAGAATGGTTTGGCCTCGCATGAGTCATGACTTGCTCAAAAAGAAATAAAGTGAAACCACAAGAAAAAGGAATGACATGGCTAAAAAAAGGTAAAATATATTTTTCATTTTTCAGAAATTAGTATGTTTCTGATCTCTATATTTATTAAAGTAGTTTTACTTCTTTACAATGAAAAACATTAGTCCCTACATTTGTTAAAGTGGAATGAAGAATTTATTTAAAAAAAATGAAGAGATAAAAAGAGGATAAATGTTCAGGAGATGATACCCGAAGGAAAGTGAAAAAAAAAACTCTATCATCTTCCGAATAGTTTGTGTTGAATTCTAAAATGAAATTGTAAAATAAGGTACAACTACAGGTATGTAATAATTTGTCATACATGAAAATAGGTTGGAACATGGTTTGGTGCTAATGATACTAAAAGTGATTGGTATGATTGAAATGGAGAATGTTTTATTAGGTCCACATTGTTAGGAACACATTGGTAATCAATAATCAAAGACGGGTTTGGAACGAATAAGGTGGTTGACTCCGAATGATGCAAGAAGAATTTAAAAGCAGCCACTCTGTTTTGACATGTGTTTCCAATCATACAACTTCTATTTGAACAATGAATGTCTATAGTTCATTTTATATAGTGAAATAAAAAGAAAGAAAATATAAACTAAAATAAATAATATAATGAAAAAATGTTTTATAAGTAATGTATGGTTGAAACGCTTGACAACTGGCAGATAGAGTTTTGGTAAAGGTTTGGTATTGAAGTTTTTTTCTTTTTGGTTACAAGTTTGGTTAGGGTTTTGAATGTGCATGTGGACCTTCTTCTCTAGCCACCAAAATATGCGTGTTATTAAGAATATGCTTACAATCAATCAATCAATATGTGTTATCAAAAGATAAGCACTGCATATTAGATTTTATGCTTTGTTTCACGTTCAGATATTTTGTGTAATCAAGAAAAAAAATGTCACATTGTTGAAAGGATAAAAGACTATTTTTTTTTAAGAATGAATCAATTGTTTTAAAATCAGACAACCTTGCAGTTACAATCTTATTTTTATTCTCTTTCTTTTACACTTGTTTATCTCATTTTTTTTCTTACTTAACTACTTTTCTCTCTATTTTCTTTCTCTATAAGATACACGGATCAGGATTGCATTGGTGAAATTGGCTATATTGGATTATGTTTACACACAGCTATTTTTATTTATGTCAAGAACACACACAGTATACTTAAAATAGTTTTAATATGAAATAATAGGGTTAAATTATTTATACACCCTTATTTAAATTAGTATATATAAAAATACATAGATTTTATTATGTTATGTTGAAACCAAACAAATTTATCAAAGAAAAGCAAGCAATTAATCAAATAACAACGTAGATTAGTGCATATTACATAAATTTAGTCCAATACACATCATTCATTTTTGTGAAACAACATCCCATTTATATATATCACATCATATACACAATACAAATAGACACAAACACACAAACATGCATACACACTTACACTTGTGAGCACACACACTTGGAAGCAACACAAATAATTTAAGGCTAGTTCCTTTGCCTTTCTCTGTGAACTTGTATATTAGTCAATTGTTACATTGGTTTAGTTTGGTTGATCTGAAAATTGATCTTCCCACCCAACTTAATTCCAAAAATGCAATTAAGACCAACATTAATAGCGAGTTTAACTAAGTTAAAAAAATAAATAAATTCTAAACGACATAAATTGAGTAGTGTTTTGACGTATCTAAGACAAGCTCGCTATAAACTTACCTAATAAGCTCGTATGACAGCAAAACTCTCTTATCTTAGTTAAAGGAAAAGGAAAAGGAAAAGGTTCAAAGATAAAGTTAAGGTAAAAACTCATCTCCTATTTTTTCCTTTCATTAATGCTAGTGTAAGTTAAGACTCCTTCTTTCTTTTCTTTTTGTTTTTTACTGTTGCTTTAAACTCAAGAAGAAAAGGGGACAAAAATGCAACTCAAACTTCATCTATGTATCCATTACTAATCTTTCAGCCGACAAATTGATATCTTTTTTCGGCCGAAATAGTGAGTAAATTGATCAAGCCTGTTTTGCATGTTCATACAATTGTCTTTTGGATTTTTTTTTCCTCTTGGTCCAAATCCCTATACCCTATAGTGGGAGTTGGCACCTTAAACAAGTAAGAACCACACAGTCGTTTATTTTTTTTCTTCCTTATTTCAGTAAATAATATACTTTCTCCTTTTTTTTAATAATAATAAGCAAAGTGTAACAAAATTCATTTTTTACTTTAATTCTTGTTTTTCCGTCAAAAGAAAGTTTTCTGAATATTTCATCGCATAAAAAATTGTTCGTTTAACTTTGGAAATAAAAGAGAAACCTAATTCAATTAACTAATACAATGAATAATTCAGTAAAAAGAATCCCTTGAATAATTGGGTCTCGTTGGGTCAGCTTCTAAGTTGCAGGTTTTTTTTTTTACTCTCATAATCTACTTTATCTAAATCTACCATTGATCAAGTTAAAAAATTATCTCTAATCGAACTTCACATAATTGTTTTTCAAAATATAAATTCCTATTGTCGATTGAAATTTAGTTTTCGGAATTAAATTTTCAAGAGCATATTAATTTATTCTGACATTAAACTAATGAAAATATATTTAGAAAGTCTGTAATTAGTTTCTATGACACTGATTTCTTGGCTTTTCTGCACATCAATTCAATAAAATACAAATGTATGCTGATCATTTTATTCGTAACCATAAAATATTTTGCATTTAGTAAAGCATATAGACTGCTTGAATACTTTGGACTGGCGATGAGAATGACAAATATTTACATGTTGCAGAAGGTGATGCTGTAGTTCAGTTTCAAATATTACAACCTTCATCATCTCCAAGGAGAGAGAGAGAAAACGGGGCTATGGTCACATTGAATGATCGTGAGCCTACTCTTTCCACATGGATCATTTCATAGTCACCTTCCTGCATTATGATACAAAACCCTGGTTTTATGTGCGATGTGATGATGACGCATCTGGAAATCCTTGAAAGTGGAAATGCATCTTGAATAAAACAAGCAAATGCAAACAAAAAATCTAAATCATTTAGGGCTTAAGTTACATTTTTCCACTGATTTCCATTCTGATGAAGAAACTACAAGTGTTGCATGCTAAAATCATGATACCAACTCAATCTGTAGTAATATTAAAAGTATTCTTTGAAACATTGAAAAATAGGATGCATCCATGAACCAATCACCCTGACTGAAAGAATGTCAAAACAAGGCTTCTAATTTTGCTTTTTTTTTTCATGGAAAGCTCGTTGATTATGCAACTAATGAAGTTGCTCGGTTTGAAAACATGGCAGAATTGCATCCATTCAAACTTAATGGCGTGTATGTGTATTGAAACCCTGTTCTAGCCTGTTGACAATTTAGCGCAATATATATTTGATTGAACCAAATCAATCTTGAGAGAATACGTAAATAAAAGGAATGAGGAAATCAGGTGCTTTTGTCCTTCTCATTTAAATTTATTTACACTTTTCGTCTCTAGAAATTATAAATTTGGTCTTTCTGTCTTTTTTTTGTTAAATATTTAATAAGTTTAGCTACACAACGTGACAACATTCAATTGGCTTGTTGTCAACCCTTGACACATTTTATGTATCTTGATTATACTCTTGATCTTTCTGAAATTGCAATCATGAATGATCACAGGGAAACCAAAAGCATAATTACACACATCACCATGTGTTAGATAACACACCAATTACCACGTTTACATTTAGTGTAACATCTAAAATATCTGTTAAATATTTAATAAAAGATTGACGGAAAGACCAAGATTGTAGGAATGCACTATCAAGAAAATCCAATTTAGGCCATGGGAAACGGAAGACCAAAATTGCACAATTGTAATACATGTGGATCAAAACTATTGTACTATATTTGATTGCGTAATACCTAAAGTATTGAAATATCTTATGCTTCTGATTATCCCAGGAAATTGCAACAAAAGTAAATCTTACCATTCTTCCATTTGGTGTGCTCAGTGGGCAGGCTGAAGAATATTCAAAACTATTCCCAGGAAGTATTAACGGCTGTTCACCAACAACTCCAATTCCCCTGTCATGTGGAAAATAAAGTACAGAAGTTATTTTGAATTTAAATCCCCTTTAGTTTCAACAACAACGCTCTTTTTTTTATTAAGTGGGTTACCGATATCAAAGTAACTCTGTTTTACCATGAACTATGTGCCTCATGAGTTTAAAGTAAAAAACAAAACTTTGGAAGAAAAACATAGGAAAAGAGAAGAATGATTAACTCACCAGACATTTTCCGTCTTCCCATTAGCATCAGTTATAATCCAATGCCTTCTAAGAAGTTGAACAGGGTGGTCTGAGTTATTGGTAATTCTTATTCTATATGCAAAGAAGTATAACCCCTTTGAAGGCTGACTTCTGCCCTCTATATATACACTCCTAACTTGAACCCTGATTCCCTGAATAAATCACAATTAAATGTTAATAATTTCAATTAGTTTTGGTGTGTGCGAAAAGTACCCTGTTTGTCATGAATTCAGCATTTGCATATTACAAAAGCCACGACAACAGGAATAGTAAAAGGTCTGATAGAAACCTAGTGTTTTATTTGACTACAAAGAATACAGAATCTTCTCCATTTACAGCACTGCAGATCTTCCCCGGTG